AACAAGCAGTCTAGAAAGCTGTTTGTAACATTTCTGAAGAGGAATGGGTCTGCTGTCCCTTAGCAGCGTTTCCGAAGTGTTAGTTCTCTCAGAATTTCCAGATTAAAATAATAATAATAACAAGAATAATAATAATAATAGTAAATGATAATATCAACAACAACATGTAGCTGTAACATGGTAATGCGTTGAGAACAACAGTTTGGCAGGAAAATGGATGTTTCAAAATAAGGTCCCCAGCAAGAAGAGTTCTGGCAGATGCACAGTCCTGGATCATATTAACCAAACTGTAGCACTCTGGAAGATTCGGGGGTTTTCTTTTGCTTTTCCCATACCCTTAACAGAATGGTAGGAGATGGTCATCATCTAAACCAAGTGGCTTCCCCTTCTGTTGCTAGCGTGGGAAAATAAATACACAAAGGGAACCAATTACAACAAGCATTCTTACCTCCAGAGGTGGTTTTAACATCCTAATAGCTGTGTCAGGTATAAAACTCGTTTTGGCTAATGCCTATTCTCATATGTAATGCTATTAACTAAAGATCATCTTAGAAACTCCACTATCCTCACATTTTAGGAAGCCCAGGATTCTAACTCCCCTCTGGTGAGAGCGGCTTTAGCGCCAATTAAGTCTCTCAACAGGCTAAGAATAGTGCTTAAACCTAATGCCTTTGGCCTGTGTGTATTGAGACTTAAATTGCATATTGTTATTCAAGATTCTTAGTCTTTCAAAAATATTCTATTTGTTTGGGCTTGAAAGAAGAGATCACCCATCAATGAAAAGAAGAGAGAAAAGCATAAAGGAAATGTTAGAAAATTCTAGAAAACCTAGGAAGTTAGAACAATTCGGGTTAACTGTACATGGAGGTGAAAATATGTAGAATTAAGAGTGATTTCTCCAATCTCCTATGTAAATCAGATTAAATGCTTTGGAATTTAAGCCCATATCTCTTTCAGCTCTTTTCACTTTCAAATAAAAAGTTTAAATGGGAATGGAAAAAAAAAAAACTGCTCCTTGGCTTAACACAAATCTTTAAACTGCAGGGAGCTTCACCCTCAAAAAGTAGTTGAATCTCTGAGGAGAAAAAAAAGGCTGAATTCTATTTTTCATAAATGATGGATTATTGTACCACACTGTGTATTTTCCAGTAAAGTGTCCTTTTATTTGCACTGTGTGATTACAAGTTTCTAAAAGTATGTGTGGGGTCACTTGGGTGCTGTGGGAAAATGGAAGGAACACTGGTCTGTTAAAATCAGTAGTGAAATCAGAAGCAAACTATGTCCCGATTATCATAGGCATGTGTTTAACTTCTGCTCTCCTTAATTGGTTATGTTGTATTTACTTAAAGGAACAATTTGGCCACTTTTCTCCCTTGACAACAGAAAAGCGTAAACTGTTTTATAAGTTTGGCTGTGAAAACTCAGATTTATAAACCACAATATTCAGTGACCTTTACTGCTGCTTTCTGGGACCCAGTGATGGACCTTGGGTTATAATCATGAGTTTCTTGTATTTTTATTTTTTTATTTATGGTACTTTCTAGTTATTTAGTGAATAAAGACTCTGCCATACATTGTAGCCATGTATTGACTTCACTTCTGCATAACTCCTCTCAGGACCAAATGAGCAGAATGAATGATGGCAAAGCCCTTGTAATTGGACTTGTCATCTGAGAACAATTATTTATAGCATCAACAAGTGGAAGGTGGTACTCTAGTCTGTCTCCAGGAAAGTCATCATTACAGGCAACTTTGGAGAGTTTGGCTGAGTTAAAAACTGTAATCAAATCCAAGACTGCTAGTTTCTCAAGATGTGTGAGAGGGAAATAAGATAAAGCACTTAAAAACATATTTCCATTTCCTTCAAAAAGCCAATGCACCTTGCAGACATTTCTCACATGTGGAGCCAGATGGTGGCATTGAAAACAATATAATATACATATATATATCTAATTAAGAATACCATCACCAGAATACCTAGGGGCTTCCAAAAAAGATATAACTCACTACATAATTATTTTCATAATCTAGCATTTATACTGTGTATACATTATATGCATATCTTTTAATTTGCAAAGTACTTTTTAATCACATCATTTTTACTAGCTCTAGAATGGCAGGAAAAATAACTTGACTGGCTCTGAATGTCTTTAGGTTCTGCCATTGGAAATGGCAAGATTTGGAAGTGAGAGCAGAAATAGAGAACATTATCTTAGATAACCTGTAAACATTTGGGTTATTCCATTCAATTCCAAAGGTCGACCTGAGAACAAATCTGCCCTGAGGCATAGTTTCTTAAAGGAGGTCAGGTGTTGCTTTGCTCTCCAACACTAGGACTGACTGTAACCATCAGCTGAAGCAGATCATCCACATTACTGTTCATTGCAGTGGCTGGACTTAGAATGAAAGCTGCCTGAATTTTATGTAGGCATAGCATATTAAAATATTCAGAGTAATTCTTCCAACCATACAAATGCAAAACATGCCTGAATATGTATGTTCCTGTGAAAGCAATTTTTGCTTGCTTAGGGATATAGAGCTCTCGCCATTTCTCTAAAATGAAATACCTGGGTCAGTCCCTCCGCTTGGATCCACTACTTCATGCTTCTATTATATTCCTTTCCATGCTGTACTATAATTACACAAGCCATGTGCATATTATTCACAACAGTCAGCTCCAGCACTCCTTTATCAGTAATAGGTCAGTTTGGTCAGTTTGTATCTTGCATGATCAAGCAGTGCAGTGTAGGAATACATGAGCCCTTGTGTAATGTAAAATTATCTAGTAACAATATTTTTTAAAGTAAAAGGTAACAGACCTTAGCAATATACTAACTTCAGTAATATATTTCTTTCAGCTGAAAATATCCAAAACATTATCATTTCGACATATTGCACAAGATGAATTGCAAGTGTTCAGAACAGTAAGCAACTAGTGGCGTACGTATTGGATAGCACAGTGCTAAACCAGGGCTTCTCAAACAGTATAAGATACAAAGGGAAAGTCACAGCATTTGCAGAGCCCACTGGAAGAAATGAACAGGACTTCTCCAAGTCCAAATCTACACAACTCCCCCAAGGTCCCTTGATGTTGTGCTTTTGCTTTATTACCTTAACTACAGAGTGTTGGGTATCTGTATAACCCACTCTTCCAGGGACAATAGGTGAGAAACTCACCCTAAAGCAGTGAATCCTAACATTTTAAAGATGTAGACTCATTTACTCTCCCCACATAAGAGTGGTTACACTTTTATTACCAATTAATTTAATGAATAGCTGGTGATGGATAATAGGTCAGATATGTTTCTACACATGCATATGCAGATTCTATTTATAGGCAGAGACTTGGTTTGCTTTTCACAGTTTCTTTTCATTTTTTCAGTATACTCATAGACCTTCAACCACCACTAAAGGAGAACTTAAACAGCTCTTGTACATTTTCCAAGCTGTTTAAGGCAGCAATTCTCAACAGGAAGCAATTTTGTATCCCTCCGGGGGCACATTTGGAAGCAGTCAGAGACAGTTTTGATCGTCATAACTGAGGAAGAGGTGCTACTGGTCCACTGTTGGATGGAGACCAGGGAGGCTACTGAGCACCCCGCACTGCCGCCTAAGGAAGCCTTCTACAGCAGAGGTTGACTGGTCTAAAATATCAAGAGTTGAAAAATGCTAGTTTAAAGTAGTGTATTCTGGTCCTTTTATGGGGCAAGCCCGCTCTCAGCATATCATCTAGTCCAGTATCGTAATCACAATTTAAACCTGCTTTAAAATAAAACTCCACTCTTCTTCCATTTAGCAGGCTGGCACGATGTCGTCTTCCTCCTCCCCTTTCCAGTCCTACACTTCCTATCTTGTTAATTGAAGTTTGCAACTGCTTTGTGATCCAATCTGGAGGAAGGAAGATACAAAAATACCCTGACTTGTTCAATCATAGGACTTCTCACACCCTAGACCAGTTAAAATTTTTTTTTTGGGGGGGGGGTTTCTCCGGTACCAGGAACCGAACTCACGACCTTGCACTTGCCAGACAGGCGCTTTGCCGCTGAGCTAAATCCCCAGCCACCCAGTTAAATTTTAAAAAATACACCTAAATTGTTTAAAACAATACCTAATAAAGTGCTCTAAATGCATATATTTTGTTAACAATTGAGCTAGGCCAGTGGAGACCTGGTGGAAGTCTACGTATTATCTTATAGACACAAAAAATTATTTTCAGTAATTAATAACAAGACACCACTAGCATCATTACACTCTGCTTAATGAAAAGCCAGAGTTTGCATGATGTCTTCATCAGTGAATTCACAACCAAAAACATGGAGCCTGATGCTTAGTGTACAGTCACCCAAGACTTGTTCAGAAATGAATGTGACAAACGATTGGCTTTGAAAATTAACCTAAGAATAAGAAACTAAGGATAGAACACAGAAACCGTGGAGAAAGTTGGAGGCGAATTTATGTTCCTAAATTTTGTTGAGAACTTGTGACAACTGTACATCATGAGGAGTGGGGGAAATGTCTGCTGTAGAAAAAGAGATGACTTTGAGTTAACATTTAAAAATGCCTGACAGAATTATTTGGGGAAGCAGAACCTTCCAAAAGGCCTGCATTACTTAGAGATAGAGTATGATCAGAATCATGTGAAATTAACAAGGCTGAAGCATCCTCCCTCTAATTTTTCTTTACTCTGAGCATAATGTTGTGTTCAAATAGACAGAAGTGACATTATATGGATGAAATGATACATTAAATGTAAGAGAATGGAAGTGGAAATGAATTGTGACTATATAGAGCTAACCCCATTCTCAGCACACCCCGGGGTTGTGGTAGGACCAATACTCGCCTCTGGGTAATTTTACTCAGATGCTCTATCTAGGCAGAAGGGCCTGAGCTATTAATTCAGGTAGTTTTTCCATAACTACTGTTTTCTATCTGTATTTGCATAAAGTAATAATCATAAAGAGAAATTTACTGAAAGCTCTGACTTTGTTTTTAATCTCCAGTGTTCAGACTGCATCACAGTGCTTCGGATACAAGCGACAAAAATAGAGTTAAAAGCCGATTAAAGAAGTTTATTACCCGAAGACCTTCCCTGAAAACTCTGCAAGAGAAAGGACTTATTAAAGGTACATGACACTTCATACTTGTACTATAACTGTGATAAGTGAATGCTCTTTTGTGTCTATAGCCAATCAGCTCTAAACAAATATTTAGGATGTTACAGTCTTCCTTATTAAATTTTCTGCTCTATAATGCAGGGAACAATAGTTGTCTAGAAAATGAACCCTGAGAAAGTAAAGGTAATATGATGGGAGCATAGCAAAAAGGGCCCAGTTTAGGCATCAAGGATTTGGACTCACACTAGGAGCAGAGAAACTGTGTCCGGGTGGGCAGACAGGATGGCGGCACATTAACACATGCCTGAGCAGTGCCGCTGTACACCTGTCATCTCAGCATAGATAATCGTGTTAGTCCTTCTCACTCTGAAGTGTCTCTTTTGGATAATGTTATCTGATCGTCAAGTTGGGGGCCTGAAATATGTGCTAGGAAGAAAGTCTGAGACAAACTAATATCCAAAAAACTTCCGGATATGGGCTGCTGGACAGCCAAAAGCTTAATCTAAACTGAAATAATGAGATATCAAGGTAAATAATTTAAGATACAGTACAAATGAGCCTAAGCCATTTGAGCCACCAGAAAAGAAATATGGTACATGGTCCCTGGCATTAGACTAGTTGGAATGCAGTTCTACCAATCATTTGTATTGACAATGAATAAGTTATGAACACTATGAGCCTCTACTTTCCCATCTGCTAAGTGGGATATTCATACCTACCTTTGAGAAACCATTGGATTCTCTCTTGCTTCGTAGAATAGTATAACAGCATCTTCAATTCTATACTATAATCCGTTCTCTAGATTATTATTTTCTTAGAGAAAATTTGGTTACAGGTTACCTGCCATCTTGTAGGACAAAACCAGATCAAGTGCCTGAACAATCCCAATTTTCCCTAAAGTCTAAATGTATCATGACAGTGGCAAAGCAAATAGGGTTTTAATTCAGTGGTGGGGTCTGGCTCCAATCAAGCTGCTAATGAGCTCATAACCTTTGAGAGTGCCCTAGAATGGGTCCCAGAAAGCAGCAAAGGAGCTGGATGCCTAATGCAGTTTTCATCCTGATGCGATGGAACCACAGAACACACTCTGATGCGTGCATTTCCTATCTTAGAGCTCCATTAAATTTTCACCATAGCTGACCAATGAGTCAGTATTCATTAGTAGGGCTATGGAAAATCTATGTGAAATTCTGATTTGATAAGCTTCCATTGTTGTCTTCAGTGGAATTTTTTTTCCAAATACAGATCAAGTTATGCAAATGTAGTCACTTCTTGGGCTTGTTTCAATTTTAACTATGAACTTTTTTCAAGGCTTTCACAGAGATGATTTTCAACTGAATAAAAACCATTAAACCAATTTTTTTAAAGTATCCAGCCATTCAAACTTAGCACTTCAATGTAATTTCTTACATATAAGGCAGAGACTTTGAAAAATAGTAAAATTAGTATTTTTAATCAGTTAAAAAAATCACATATAATAAGTGAATGGTTAAATTCTCCAAGCAAAAAGGCGAAACTCGTTCAAATGGGGAAGAATTATTTTTAAAAGATTATGACCTTTAAAACTGATCTGTAGTGCATGTGGCTAAAACCTGTGTCATACTCTTTAACATGTCTAATATTCCATCTCTGGACGAAGGGCCTCCTTGGCCAAGGTGAGGGAAGCTGTGACTTATAATTGTGCTTCTCGAAACCTCGGGGAGCTGTGCAGGACCAAAGAGACTTTTCGTGTCTACTCTTTTACGTACTGTCACCAAAGCTGGGGGGTTCTGAGTGCTGAATCCAGCTGGGCTCCGCTGAGCACCACTGTGGGGGCAGGAAGGGCTGCTTTAGTGACAGTGACACCCACCAGAGTCATTCGCACACAGCACGTTAAGTCAAAAGGGAATTACAGCCAAATCACAGCATCAAATTTGTCATAAAACTTTTCTTCAAAATCAATTTTTTGGTATTCATGGAGACCTGGCTAAAATACGCCTACATCAGCTAGGATTTATATCTGGAAAACAGTCTCTTGATGGGGCTGCATTGTCTAATTTCTTTAATGTAGCGGATGAGAAAGGTACATTGTGATATCAAAGGGGAGGGCCGCAGAGAATTCTGAATGGCTGTGCAACAGAAAGAAAGAAATTGTGATGGCTCAGGTGGGCGTAGCAAGCATTGTGCCACTGTAGCGGGCGCCCTTGAAAAGCTCCCCAAGTGCATTCACACTTGCCAAGGGGGTGACAAGTCCTTTGAAATATATGAGTGTATTACACTGAGCATCTTATAGGAAACAAAATTTGAATCAACTGCATATGTAAATTATAGGCAAAAGGGTACATTTTCGGGTTGTAGGTCCATTGGAACTTATTGTGTACTTGCATTTGGAACTTCAGTAATAGCTTTTTAATTTCAGTCAGCCTACATTATGCAGTCTTTCAGATAACAGCATCAACATCTGAGGAAAAGAAATGCCTGGAAACAGAGTTTTTAAAGAAGAGAGCAATCGTTTTTAAGGAACAACTAATGTGTCCTACTATCAAAATAATACTCAGATGAAATCATATGTTTAGAGGGTAGTTTTATGCGTTGGGAATATAGCTCAGTGGCACAAATGCTGCCTGGCAATCACAAAGTCCTGAATTCAATTCCTGGTACAAAAAAAAAAAAAAAATAGAGGGTAGTTTTAGTCATCTTAGTATGGGGAAAACCTAATATGGCTTCAATAGTAACAGAAATTAATGTTTTTCTATCTCTGTTTGTAAAATGATTGTTTTATAAAGTAAAGAACTTATTTAAAGACTCAACAGAATATCTCAAACATGTATTATGGTAGGGTGCGGTCACAGAGGCTCCCGAAGCTTCCCTCAGAGATATATTATGGAAGGCAATGTTTTCCACTTTCATCTTAGTTTTACTTCCTGTAGGACACCACTTTAAATGGTGTTCATTTATTGTTCTTCTAGAGGTCACTTTCAAATGTACACTATTTTTTATTTAGGATGCGGGCTGTTTGTTTCTGTCGATATCTTTTCTATTTTTAATGCTGTATGTCTTGATTTATCAGTCTTGGACATCACCTTATAATTCTGCTGCAACAGGAAAAAATTTGACTCAGTTACACTCAGCATGTCTTCGTCTTCCCCGAATACCACTGTTCAACAGCAGTTCGTCTCATTGCCTTTTCTTTTGTACTTGTGCATCATGAAAACTTATAGTATTTCATCTTTTTCTGTAACACATTTATAGGTTAATTTTAAAAGCTAAGCACTCTGTATTTGTATGTTTACACAAGATTTAGACTTGGCAAGGATTGGACTTCCTTCTCTGTTCTCACAATCTCATAACCCCTATGGCTCTCGAGGGGTAATGACCTGATCTCAGTGAAAAATATTCTTCTCTCATTTATGTTTGAGAGTTATATTAATAATTTTGCTGTTTTACAAATGGGCCTCTATGAATTTTTCCTATGTTTTGGATCGAGATGTGAAAAAGACAACAATCCATTTTATTTTGGTCATTTAAATATTATAGAATCTTTGGCCAAGTACTCTGCCAGATCAGAGTAACATATCCAGGGTCCAGGGTCATGACTTACAGGCCACACAAGTGATAATATTCTACTTTCAGAGATGATACTCCACCATCGACTTAAAATCATGCTGTCTTTTAGCTTTTTTCTGTGACATTTCACTTTTCATTATGACATTCCTCTCAAGATTTCTCCGCAGCAAGAAGTTCATGTTTTCTTTCATTCTGGGTCTTTTTGTCATCAAAGAGTTTCATCCTTTTCATCTGCGTCTTCTGAGGGCTACTCCCTGCTTTCCTCAGGGCAGGGGATAAAGCTGAGGCGTTGGCACTGAGCTGCACGTACAAGCTCCGTTTTAATGGCCATCTTGGAACAGGCTCACTAAGTTGCTCGGGCTGGACTTCAACTTTCCATCGTTCTGCCTCATCCTCCCGAAGTGATGAGATGACAGGCTAACACCATCAGACCTGGCTCCTTTCCTGCTTTTTATCCCCTAAATATTTTCTTCTAGTTTCTTGAATCCTCTCATTTCCGTTTAGACTGTTGCTCTCCAGGGTCATTGCCCTGTGATTTGCTTTCACTGTCTTCTGCATTGTATTCACTCTCCTCAGAATCCTGTGGCTTTTCTTTTGGGTTGCGAACCTCCTACCGCTACGTAACAGGCTCATTCAGCTAATGTAGGAAACAGACTTCACTGGCCGAGCGGTACCTTCCCTACTCCCCCAGTTGATCAATAGTTTTGTTGCATTTAAAATTTCATTCTTAAGAAGACAGTGTTGTATGTTCTACTTTTACACACTAGTGGTTACTTTGATTTTCTTTGTCTCGAAATATTAAATTTTTGTGAGATTTTTAAAATCAAGATCATATATTTGATGCAGTCTTTTAACCTTACTCTGCTTCACATTTAATATCAAGCATTATGACTATTCCACTGTGAAGTTTTTGCCCATTTGTCATTTTGATACATTTCTCTTGTGTTTTCTCTGACTCCTCTTTTGAGATCTTTATTGTTTGAACATTATATCAATTGTGTGGATTATTTCATCCAGTCTTAATTTTTCTCATATTCTGAAAGAATTCTCACTTTGATCTGACCAATCTTTATATTATTTTATCTGTAGCAATCATATTTTAATTTGCTAAGTTTCTTTTTCTCTGCTTGTTCTTAGTTCTATTTATAAATCTTATACTGTTACACCATAGGGGTAAAAAACTGTTGATCACTTTACTTTCCTACCTGATAGTGAGAATAGTACTAGCACTCAATAAATGTTCAGTAGTTGACTATGTATGTATTGCATTAAAACACTTTAAAACTTATCTGAGCACATAAATTAGAATTTCTTTTTGCAGGGGTTTATGAAGAAAACTTTATTTTAAAGAAAATTGTGGAGAAAAAAATTCAGTTTATTTGAAACCATAGCAGCTTTAAAATTTGACAAAGACAGGCTTAACCCTGGATTCTCCTTTCATTAGCTAAATAACTCAATATCTG